GTTATTCACTTATTTACCTATTTATGATGTTTTCACGAGTTTTCAAAAATTTATAAAAAACAAAATGTCTTTTTGATGAAAAACGGCAAAGACAACAACACGGATTCTATGACCGATAATACCGTATCTCACATCCCGTAACCGAGAAGTCCCAATACCGGACACGAGTATAGATCACGATATTATGACCGACCCTCGACCCACATGCGTGCTGGAGCAAGTTCTCGATTGGCCACGGCAAAGCCCCAATACTAGCCATGATCGTAGTATGGTACCAGCCTAGAATCGACCCAAGTCCCACACCTTCCCGATACCGGTCACGACCCCGTGACCAATACTCCAACCGATGGGGAACTCTGACCACGTCCCAGCATCGACCTAGCATAGCGAGATGAGGCCTTCCCTATCCTGACTGGTACTAGCCTTGACCGTTCCACGATCCATCCGTCCTAAACTTACATGAGTCCCAGTCCGTGTCCCAAACGCATCCCACCTGACACGCGTTTCCATCCTGTAACCTCGGTCATGGATCACGGGCTTAGACCATTCAGCTCGACCGCTAAATCACCAACCTAGCCGTTGTCCGGTTTAAAGTATAAAAATTCTTTTTATCTTTTTTATTTATTCAAAACCATTTTTAACTTGAAATTAACAACATATATGAACCACACTCACCAAAAAAAAAGGGAAAATTATGAAAATAATCCAAAAAATAATTAAAATTAAAATAATATACCTTGTGTTTTATAATTAAGAAAATAGGCTAAATATATAACATAAGGGTTTTGTCGGGTAACAGATTTGGTATTGTCCTTGTGAATCTTCTAAGGGCTACTTTTTACTAATGTTTATCTCATCGATCATATTTTCAAAGTTTACATCAAACCAATTAAACTTAATGTAATTAGTGTATACAACAGAGTGATTGAGGTTAAGAAGTTCTTAGAGGTTTTCACATGTTATGTTAGTTACGGTGGTTAAACTAATGAACAGATGTATATAAAGATATGTATGGACTAAGATTAATGAGAAAGTCAGTTTTACAAAAGCTGATACTTGTTGAACCTGCATGATAATTTGCTTGAAGGGAAGTGGCGTAATAGACTGGTGTAACAGCAAAACCATCTCATAAGCATATACCAATGAAGAGAATGGAAAGGTGTTTGTGGACAAGTTCTCAGCGATACATTTTTGCTACCATGTGGTTTTAAGTTTCTTGGATATTCTGATTTCGCTTGGTGAAGGAGACTCAGACAATCTTTTTACGTGTATGGTGGAAAGTATCACGAGAGTACATACATATTTGGTCTATTCTTTTAATTTTTTATAAGATTTGGTCTATATTTTTAATTTTAAAATATTTGGCCTATTCTTTTAATTTCCTATAAAATTTAGTCTATTTCTTTAATTCTCCAAAAAAAAAACAACATATATGAACCAAGTTATTTTAGTTGTGCATTTTCATGAATTAATATATGTAATCTCTATGCTTAATTAAATTTATTACTCGAGAGATTACTTAATTTCATGAGCTTTGCATTTCAAATTTTTGGTTAGATTCATGATATAGTCAATTGCTAATAATAATAATGCTGCACTGATGATTCAACTTGAAGGAGACGGAAGAGAAAGAAAACTTAGTGATGAGACAAGATCTCAAAAGGACACTCTCATCAAAACAAAAGCTRYTATACCCSTCTTTAATCTTCATAYCCACTTTTAATGATAAGTRTGCGAAGTGACGAAAATAGCYTTGGTTCAATTTYGGTCTGATTTAATAAAAACTGAAACCATCGAGCAAAACCATCAAACCATTCTATCTCAAACCCTCTTCTCAAAAGAGAAGGTCTCGATTTATTGATCTGATTTAATAAAAACTGAAAAAAAAAAATTCAGTTTCTTCTTTATCGGGGACAAGAC